GTCGCTGATGATTGTGGTGATGATGCTGATGATGCTGCTGCTGATGATAATGATGCTGGTGATGCTGCTGATGATGATGATGAGGATGAGGATGAGGATGAGGATGATGATGAGGACGAATATTCGGATAAGGATGATTATGATGATGATGATGATGATGATGATGATGATGATGATGATGATGATGATGATGATGATGATGATGATGATGATGAGGACTATGCTGATACTGATGCTGATGCTGATGGTGATGATGATGATGCTGATGCTGATGCTGATGCATATGCTAATGATTATGGTAATGTTTGGTGATGATGACGCTGCTGCCGATGTCGCTGATGATTGTGGTGATGATGCTGATGCTGATGCTGCTGATGATGCTGCTGCTGATGATGAAGCTGATGCTGATGCTGATGCGGATGCTGCTGATGATGCTGCTGATGGTGCTGCTGCTGCTGTTGCTGCTGCTGCTGCTGCTGATGATGATGATGATGATGATGATGATGATGATGATGATGATGATGATGATGGTGATCATGATGATGGTGGATTGATAATAGAGGGAGGAAGAAAGCATACACACGACGAGGACCTGTTAAAGCGGCGGTTCCCGCAAGGCGGCCCTCCTGGAGTCGGAGTCCATGGCCATGAGGGTCAGCACGAGCCACTCCACGTGGGGCGGCTCAGGCCCGCGCGGTTATCTGGCTGTGGCCTCCGTTGTCGATGGTGCCGTTGGGGCTCGTGGGACCACGCGTACGTGTAGTGCGCGACGCTTGTCCACGATCTGCGCCGCTGCGCATTTTTTGGGGTTCCATCTGCGGTCAAGACGCCGAAATGAGGACCAGTTTGGGTTCAGGAGGGGCCCTGGTTTCCCGGCTGGGCCGGGGGACCCATTCGTGGCCAAGGCTCGCCGGGGCCAGCAGCGCCCCTTCGCTTGCTGCTCCTCGTGGCAGCACGCTGGCCGTACATTTCCCGGGCCGGCCGCGCGGCCGTCTGGCCGCTGAGCTCGGCTGTCAGAGCCCTGCCTTGGGACCTCTTGGGGCCTCAGCGCGGGCCATGCCGAGGCCTCGGCGGTCGTCTTCGGGGCCGGGCTGGGCAGCCTCGGAGTGTTCGGGGACCGCCCGCGAAGCCATCTTGGGCCTCCTGGAGGCCTCGGGGGCCGCCGGGGAGGCGTCGGGCCGTCCGGATGCGGTCAGGACCGTCTGTTCAGCGTGTCGCGCCGCCGGTTCTGGCCCGCCGCGCCTCGGCGACCGCGTTTCGACCGCTTCTCAGCCTTCCCCCAGCCCCGCGGAGTGGAGCGCGGCATGCTATCAGCTCGCAGGGCACAGCGTGGCGCCTGGGCCGCCGCCGCGGCACGCCAAGGGGCATTTCCTGACCGTAGCTCTTGGGCTGCCGTGAAGGCCTCTTGGACCCTTTTGGGCGATTTCTGGGGCCCCCTTGGCCCGTCATGGGACCCTCTGGCTTTTGAGAAAGTCATGCGATGCAGCCCAAGAGCGCGGAAAGAGCGCGTTCTGTGGTCGCTTGGAGGGGGGGGGGGTTTGGAACCGCACATGCCCTCCCCCCCTGGATGGAGGGGGTGGGGGGTTTCGAGCCCCCCCCCCCTTCCCGTGACGGAGGGTGGGGGGGTTCGAACCCCCCCCCACTTTCCTCCCTACTTCTCCTCTCTCCCTCTCCTCGGGCCGGCGCCTGCGTCGGCGGCGGCTGGCGGCGGTGGTGGGGACGACGATTTCCTTTTCTGGGCCGGCGCTGGCGCCTGCGGCGGCGGGCGGCGGCGGCGGGGAGCGTCGACGAGGACGACGGTGGTGGTGGTGGGTTGTGGTGGTGGTGGTTGTGGTGGTTGTGGTGGTGGTGTGGTGGTTTGTTGTGGTGGTGGTGGTGGTGGTGGTGGTGGTGTGGTGGTTTGTTGTGGTGGTGGTGGTGGTGGTGGTTGTGGTGATGTTGGTGGTGGTTTGTTGTAGTGTGGTGGTGGTTTGTGGTGGTGGTGGTGGGTTGTGGTGGTATGGTGGTGGTTTGTGGTGGTGGTGGTTGTGGTGGCGGCGGTGGCGGTGGTGGTGGTGGTGGTGGTGTGGTGGTTTGTGGTGGTGGTGGTGGTTGTGCTGCTGGTAGTGGTGGTGGTTGTGGCGGTGGTGGTGGTGGTGGTGGTGGTGTGGTAGATTGTGGTGGTGGTGGTGGTGGTGGAGGGTTTTTGTGGTGGTGGTGGTGGTGGTAGTGGTGGTGGTGGTGGCTGTGGTGGTGGTGATTGTGTGGTGGGTTGGTGGTGGTGGTGGTGGTAGTGGTGGTGGTGGTAGTGGTGGCAATCGTCGCTGCGTCCCCGTTGTCGCCGGCGCCAGCGCTGGGTGGTGGGGGGGTTTTGAAGCCTCCCCCCACCCTTTGGGCTGCCTCTGGTCATCGTCGCTGCGTTCCCGCCGTCGGCGCTGCCCGCGGTGCCAGCGCCGGCGCTGGAGCCGGCGCCGCAGGGGGGGGGGCTTGAACCCCCCACCGCCCTTGGAAGGGGGGGGGTGTTCGGGAGGGGGCGGTTTGGGAGGGAGGGGAGTCCCCCTGGTTTTGATCGACAGCGCCGAGTGTTGTGGGGGGGGGGCACCCTCCGGTTCGAAGTGCGCCGCCGAATGTTCCCAGGGCAAGCGCCCGTAAAACGCGCTCTCTCAGAGCGCGGGAGCGCCGGGGAAATTTGAGAGTTGGCCCCCCGGCCTTTAGAATATCATAACCCCAGAGTCCTGAGTACAGCGAACAGAGGACACAGGAGAGCCCAGAGAAAATGCAACTTCGCGCCTCGCGGCCCGGTGTCGCATTACTCTGTTTGAGAAGATCTTGGAGGGGGGAAGTCGCGTGAGTTGGGTTACAAATCGGACTCCGATGCGATGGCATATTATTTCTAGGGCTCAGTTTAGGAAAAAAGCGTAATGCTAGGCCATACGGGCCGAAGGGCGGTGCGCGTGCTGCCGACCACCGTGAAAGCATATTATCCTGGCCTCCTTCGGGTTCCTCCCGTTGCCATCGAACGCGCTTTTTGTCCTGGGCGGCGTCGTGCGGGCGCCGCTCTTGCAGTTCAGCTTTTTTTGTTGGCCCCAGCGACGCGCAGGCCGCGCATTCGCCTGCGCGTATAATGATGTGACGAATGCATTCGCGAGCGGATCTTGGGATGAGCTAGGACAGACAGTTGAACTCCGCGCTGGCCCCCAGGACGTCGATGTCTGTATACAGCGATTCCGTAACCGTGCTATATGGTTTGATACGGGGGGGCGGGGGGCGGAACAGTGGGAGATCTCTGCGTCGTCGAACTTTTTCAAGGCACCTTCTCGCAGCCCATCATGCAGTGGCTCCACAGGTTGCGGGATATCGTTTTTTTCTGCAGCAGGACTTGCGGCCAAGTGGAGGGAATTTCAAGCGGACTTCGGGATCGCCTCTACACCGGCGACATCTTCCGTGTGCCCCTGGCTTCGCCTCGCCACGCAATGGGGCCGTTTCAGGTTCTGAAACAAATTGATGTGGTGTCGCCCGAGGAGTTGGAGGAGATAGGCTACGGCCAAACTATTTCAGAGCAGAAGGTTCAGTTTTGTCCCCGAGCATCCTGTGGCGGTGGGTCCTCGTTTTGAAGAGACACCGCCCCGCGTTCCTTCTCATCCTCCTCGCCCCCCCTCCCCACCTTCCTCCCGCTGCACTCTCCTCTTCTTCCTCTCCTCTTCCTCCTCCTCCTCCCCGTCCTCCTCCTCCTCCTCCTCCTCCTGCTCCCTGTCATCGTCATCATCGCCGTCGTCGTCATCATCATCGTCGTCGACATCGCTGTCATCATCAGCATCATCGCCACCAGCTTTGGCGCGCCCCTCACACGTTTCTCGGCCCCATATGGCGGCCCGCCCCATTTCGGCACGCCCTCCTCGCGCTCCGTGGCCTCATGAGGAGATCCACCAAAGGCGATACCCGTGACGACGGTGCTCACAGCTGCATATGGTTCGGTCCTTCGCCTGGATCATTTTCAGGGGCGTGGGGCTTTGCAGCGCAGACAGTGGGCTCGGGGAAGGGGCCGAAAGTTAATCTTACTACGCCTCGGGCCAGATCTGGTCCTTGGCGCCCCGCGCCCCGCTGGAAGCTAACTTAGTTTTTCAGTTTCGTTAAGGATGGTGCGCTGACGGGATTCGAACCAATGCTGCCCACGGCGCGACATTATTAGGAGCTCGACTCGTTAGTCGCTCTGCATGGGGGGAGTGTCCCTCAGAGGGGGGGCGTCGAATCAGGTGGGGGATCAACTTTGCTCGTGGTCAAGCAAGCGCTCGATGCAGCAGTGGCGTCTAGCTGGGTCAGAGACCGAGATGTTGGTCAGACGCCATGGGCTTGGATGTGGGGGGTGCGCCGCTCCTAGGAGATCCTCCTCATTTGGTGTTACCGTCGCTGGCGTTTCCGTGGCTTCGCTGGTTGCAGGATGATTTTCGCCGAACGTCTGAACGCTTGGGCGAAGGCGAAGTTTGCGTTCGTCTGTCTCGCCGTCCAGGCGACCTGGTGGATGAAAAGTATCGCGAACTCTGGGTCCGAGCAGATTTCGCGGAAATCAGGGCACGCGAGCTGGTGGTCAGTGTTCCCCCTCGAGACACGCTCAGGTTCTCGAGCTTCCGCGGGGCCGCGATGGGCCCCTGGAGTTCCCCGTGGAAGTGCGACTGGATGAAGGAGGGGGGAGGCCGAGGCCCATGTGGGGGGCATTCCAGACGAGGGGGATCTCATGAGCCACGTGCGTCGTATCCATCAGGTGCGCAAGCCATGCTCGACCACTGCACCTACAGGTGCTTGTAGAGTTTGTCGCAGAGTGTTCGCATGCCAGTTTAACGCCTGCAAGATCCCCAGATGGCCATTGTGAGTGGAGGCTGCCCAGCGCGAGCGTTGACGTTTTCCGGAATCAGGCCGCCGGTGTCTTTGGATTGTCGAATTTGCGGTCGCCGCGCCAGTGACGCGGGTGATCTCTGCAGCCATTCGGCCGCAGGCCACTTGCCGATTGTGGTGTGTCCATCTCTTTACGGCTTACATATGCTTGGGGGACCGCGGAGGGCCTCGATGGAGTTGGAAGGGGAGGCTCTTCCAAGGCCGGCCCAGATGACGGCCCCGTCGTCCGCCCGGAAGAAGAAAAGTCCAGGCGCGGTGGGCGCTCGCGGCGAGGCTCGGCAAGCGGCAGGAGGGTCCAGCGCACTCCAGGCGGCAGGAGGGTCCAGCATGGCGTCCCCGCCGACGGCCGCGCTCTCGCGGGCCTGTGCAGCGCGGTCTCGCGTGCGGGTGGCGTCGGCGCCGAGGGCGACTTCGCGGCGACCAGCGAGACGGCGGGCCAGGAGTACCATGGCGAGTCGCAGGAGTTCAAGAAGGAGCGGAATAGCGGGGATACCGTCGACTTCGCCAGCCTGGGACCACCGTTCGTGGCCATCTTCATGACGGTGATGCAATGGGCGCGGCGTTGCAGGTCAAGAAAGACACGAAGCAGGAGAAGTGGATGACGACACTGAAGGAGCTGTGGGTCGAGCGGAACTCCAACATGACCATGGTGGAGGTGGGATCGCTGGTGCTTCGCGTGGATGCGGAACAAAGGCAAGGCGGACGACTAGCCCCCACGTGGTCGCCTCATCTACGCGATCGACCACACCCACCCGATCGGCCCCCCGCTCAGCCATGTCGTCGAGGACATGCTGAAGTCGCCGCTGGTGCAGGGCGTGAGGCGCATTGGCCCCGTCCCGAGGGGCCCTCTGGAGAGGGACGGGAGCAAGCTCTTCACGGAGCTGACGGGCAAGTGACAGGAGTGAGTAGCCATAGTAGGCCTTCGGTTGCCGACGTTTTGTTGTTGTTGTTGTTGCTGTTGCTGTTGCTGTTGTTGTTGTTGTTGTTGTCGTCGTCGTCGTCGTCGTGGTTGTTGTCGTTGTTGTTGTTGTTGTTGTTGTTGTTGTTGTTGTTGTTGTTGTTGTTGTTGTTTTTCTTCCAACGCTGTCTCGGGGACCAGCATCACTCGCAGATGAGCTCGAGGCTGGCAGCTTTAATCCGAAGGGGTTTCGTTCCAGCAGATGTTTTAGACCTTCGCCACCCTATAACCATTGCCTACGGCCCCGAAGTGCTCACTACCCCGACGATCCAAAGAGAGGGAACGTCTCCCAGGCGCAGGGACACGGGAAAGGGTAAGAAGGGCAAGGGCCGGTAGTAATTCCATTGGTCCCAAACCGTGGTGAGCGCGTTTCACGGGCGCTCGCCTTGGGAACATTCGGCGGTGTGTTTCGAACTGGGGGGTGGGCCCCCCCCCAACATTCGGCGCCACCGATCAGAACCAACCATGGGGACTCCCCTCCCTCCCTCCAACCCCCCTTCCCCAACCCCCTTCTACCCCCGCCCCCCTCCCAGGGGGGGGGGGCTTCCCCCCCCTCAGGCGCCGGCGCCGGCGCCAGCGCTGGCGTCGGCCAGCAGTGCGACGGCAGACGCAGCGACGATGACCAGAGAGGGCCCAGGGGAGGGTTCCAAACCCCCGCCCCCCCCCCTTCGGCGCCGGCGCCGGCGCCAGCGCTGGCGGCGGCCAGCAGCATCGACGGCGGAAACGCTTGTTGCGCACGACGATAAAACACATTTAGACATTGAGTGAAAAACGTTCGGGCACCACCAACCACCACAACCACCACCACCACCGCCACAACCACAACACCACCCACCACCAAGCCCACCACCACCACCACCACCACTTGACCCAGCCAAAACCCGGTAGCGGGAAGACACCGAAAGCCTCAACCACCACAATTCATCACCACAAACCCACCACACAATCACCACCTGCCACCACCACCGCAACCAGTACAACCCACCACCACCAACAAACCTCCACCTTCACTACAAATCACTACGGACGCCACACCAAAAACACACCACCACCGCCACAACCCACCAAACCCACCCAACCAAACACGACCACCACCACCACCACCACAAACCACCACACCACTACCACCACCACCACCACCACCACAATCACGACCACCACCCATCACCACCACAAGCCACCATACCACGACCACCACAACCACCACCGTCACCACCACCACCACCACCACCACCAAAAATGCCACCACCACCACCACAATCCATCACAACCCACCACAACCCACCACAACCCACCACGATCACCATCACCCCCACAACCCACCACACCATTGCCACCACCATCACCACCACCACAACCCACCACAACCCAACACCACCACCACCACCGCCATCACCACCACCACCACCACCCACAACCCACCACACCATCACAGCCCACCACCACCACCACCATTTCAGAGAGGCCCCAAGTGACGTCCAAGAGGCGCCCAGGAGGCTTCACAAATGCCCTTCAGAGGCCCCCGAATGCCTTCCGACGATACCCCAAGAGGCATCCATTAGGACTCTGACCCAAAACCAAGGCGCGGTGGCAGAACGTCGTCGTCGTCGTCGTCGTCGTCGTCGTCGTTGTCGCCGCCGTCCTCGTCGACGTTCCCCGCCGCCGCCGCCAGCCGCCGCAAGCGCCGGCGCCGGCCAAGAAAAGGAAGTCGTCGTCTTCATTGACGCTCCCCGCCGCCGCCGCCGCCACCGCTGGCCCGAGGACAGAGAGAGAGGAGAAATAGGGGAGGGGGGGGTTGACTCCCGCCCTCCGTCACGGGAGGGGGGGGGGGGTCGAACCCCCCCCTTCGATCCAGGGGGGGGGTCCAGTTCCAATCCCCCTCCTTCCCCCCCAAGCGCCCACAGAACGCACTCTTTCCCAACCGTGTGCCCTCCAGAGGTTGCGTGCCGTTTAAGGGGGGTGCTCGCAGGGCGGGTGCGGCGTCCGTCGTGAGCCACAGGCCCGCGCTTGACGGTTTGGCGATCTCATGCTTCGCCCCCCAGACTTCTTTTGCAAAGATCACGGTAGGCAGCAGCTTGCAGGTGTGACGAGGCAACAATAGAAATGCCGGCGGGCCCGATCCCGATCCCGTTCCTCCTCTTTCTCTTCTTGCTCCTCCTCCTCCTCCTCCTCCCCCTCCTCCTCCTCCTCCTCCTCCTCCTGCACCTCCTCCTCCTCTTCCTCCTCCTCCTCCTCCTCCTCCTCCTCTCCTCCTCCTCCTCCTCCCCCCCCTCCTCCTCCTCACCCTCCTCCGCCTCCGGCCTCCGCCTCCTCCGAGCCTTCCTCGTCCACCTCCTCCTCCTCCTTCTCTTCTCTTCTCTTCTCTTCTCTTCTCTTCTCTTCTCTTCTCTTCTCTTAGCTTCTCTTCTCTTCTCTTCTCTTCTCTTCTCTTTTCTTCTCTTTTCTTCTCTTCTCTTCTCTTCTCTTCTCTTCTCTTCTCTTCTCTTCTCTTCTCTTCTCGTCCCGTCTCGTCTCGTCTCGTCTCGTCTCTTCTCTTCTCTTCTCGTCTCTTCTCTTATCGTTTCTTCTCTTCTCTTTTCGTCTCGTCTCGTCTCGTCTCTTCTCTTCTCTTCTCTTCTCTTCTCTTCTCTTCTCTTCTCTTCTCTTCTCTTCTCTTCTCTTCTCTTCTCTTCTCTTCTCTTCTCTTCTCTTATGCTCTCCTAACTGCTATTCTCTCCTCTTCTCTTCTCTCCTCTTCTCTTCTCTTCTCTTCTCTTCTCTTCTCTTCTCTTCTCTTCTCTTCTCTTCTCCTCTCTTCTCTTCTCTTCTCTTCTCTTCTCTTCTCTTCTCTTCTCTTCTCTTCTCTTCTCTTCTCTTCTCTTCTCTTCTCTTCTCTTCTCTTCTCTTCTCTTCTCTTCTCTTCTCTTCTCTTCTCTTCTCTTCTCTTCTCTTCTCTTCTCTTCTCTTCTCTTCTCTTCTCTTCTCTTCTCTTCTCTTCTCTTCTCTTCTCTTCTCTTCTCTTCTCTTCTCTTCTCTTCTCTTCTCTTCTCTTCTCTTCTCTTCTCTTCTCTTCTCTTATCTTCTCTTCTCTTCTCTTCTCTTCTCTTCTCTTCTCTTCTCTTCTCTTCTCTTCTCTTCTCTTCTCTTCTCTTCTCTTCTCTTCTCTTCTCTTCTCTTCTCTTCTCCTCCTCCTCCTCCTCCTTTTCCTCCCTGCTTCCAGTGGACCCCCCCTCCTGTTTCCCCTTCCTCCCTCCCTCCCTCCCTTCCTCCTCCTCCTCTCCTGAGGTCCGACGGAAAAATATCACCGTAGAAAATCACCGCTGGAACCCTAGACCCCTCCTGTCTGCGCCGTTTGTCGAGCCGGATCGATGGGTGATGGCCCAGGGCTCGAAACCGGGCGAAAACGCCTGGCCTGAAAAAGTTAAGACGCCCAAGGTCTCAGGATTCCCCCCCTCCTCCTCCTTCCTCCTCCTCCTCCTCCTCCTCCTCCTCCTCCTCCTCCTCCCCTTCTCCTCCTCTCCCCCTCCTCCTCCTCCTCTCCTCCTCCTCCTCCTCCTCCTCCTCCTCCCTCCTCTCCTCCTCCTCCTCCTCCTCCTCCTCCTCCTCCTCCTCCTCCTCCTCCTCCTCCTCCCACTCGCCCCAGGGGCGCCCCAGAAGGCCCCAGAGGGTGGCACTGCGCGAGCGCGGCCGTCAGGCTGCTCATCTGGCTCGTGGCGGACGCGCCCCCCCTCCAGGACGGACCCCAGGACCAGCCGCCGCCCCGTTGGGAGCTCAGGTTAAGTCGGGCGTGTCCCTCTACAGGGGGAATAGTCGAAAATAGTACAAATATAGTGCGGGGGCTATTTTTTAAAGTATTTTTTGACCGTTTGGGGGGCATTTTTTGCATATTTGTTATTTTGCATCCAAAATCCCCCTGTAGGAGGACAGGCCCGACTTAAAGCTCAGGGGCAACGACGTTGGAGTTATGGGGTGGGGGCGTTTTCGTTGGTTGTCGGCGGTTTTCCAGCCTCGGGATGGTGCCCAGCAGCTGCGCCTCGCCGCGAGAGTCCCAGGGGGGCCCGCACATCGTCCCGAACGGCCGCCGGAGACCCGAGTCATGACCCGAGAGCCAGGCGACGAGGATCTTTTTGGGTTGGGGTGGAGCAAGAGCTCAGGGGGGGACGCGTCGACCCCAAATCGCCCATCGATCGCCGAGAAGGGTCTGATAGCCCCACTCTGCCCAGCAGCGTGCGGATCTGCCATCGTGGGCCTATCGCCGATGCACCGACGACGTGTCGCCGGTGGCAGGTCGATGCTCTCCCCCCTGTGCCAGTGGCCCCTCCTGGATGGACCCCAGGACCGGCCGCCGCCCTGCTGGCTGTGTTTCTCCTCCTCCTCCGCCTCCTCCTCCCTCCTCCTCCTCCTCCTCCTCCTCCTCCTCCTCCTCCGCCTCCTCGTCCTCCTCCCTCCTCCTCCTCCGCCTCCTCCTCCTCCGTTTCGATTCTGAAAACCCAGACGCGCTCGCGCCGTGAAAACATCCAGACGGGAGGCTCCTCGCCGTCTCTTCGGCGTCCGGCGGCGCTCACCAGTCCCCCAGGGCCCCCAAAACAGCGACGCAGGGCGAGTAGCAGGAGGGAACGAAAACACAGCCACAATTGATCATCGATCCCCCAGAAATTATATCGGAAAATGTGGGAAGGGGGGGGAAGACAAACGCCCCGAAAATATGGGGAGATCTGGGGAATCCTGTTCTTTGTGTCTAGTTATTTGTGTGTCCCAGGGTCCCTTCAGAGAAGCCAGTCCCGGAGACAGGGTCTGGACATCCAGGGATCCGTATCGAAAACATCAGGACGTCGCATGTCTGGGAGGTTTGGACTCTCCTGGCGATTCGCTCCCCCCCAGCCGCTGCAAGCAGCGCATGGCCGAAAAGGCGTGCAGGTCAGTCCCGACTGGCGCGAAATCCGGATTTCCGTTCGGGACTCGCCGCTTTCCCCCCTCCGTGCAAGTACACTTGCCGGGGCCCGAGGAAAAGCTGCCTCCCGGGGCAGGGGAGGGGGGGCGGCCTTCTGCTCCGGACGGCGCAACAAGAAGCAGCGACGGCAGCTTCTTCGTAGTGTTCGGCCTCGGGAGGCCGTTTCTATGGAGCCACATGCGAACCCTACCCCTACCCCCCACGATTTCTGAGGGGGAGGGTGGGGTTCGCTTCGCTCGGGAGCTCCCGAATGAAGTGAACCCCACCCTCCCCCTCAGAAATCGTGGGGGGTAGGGGTAGGGTTCGCATGTGGCCCCCCAGTTTCCTGAGCCCAGGGCGGCCAACATCATTACTCAGGGCAGACGTCTGGCCCTGGGGGGGTGGGCGACATCCCCGCGGGCCGACGGCACGGCAGAAGTCTGCAACCGTCGGAGGAGAGGGCGAAGGGACGTTGACATCCTCGCGTCGTGGCAGAAATCACGACGAGCGGTTCTCGTTCATTTTCGGCCTTCGGGGGCTCTTGCCAGGCCCCAGGGCCGTCGGAAAGCGACTCAGGATGAAAAGCCAGTCCTGGGGAAGAGGTCTGGACCTCTGGGGAGCCACGCTGTGAATAAAATACGCCGTCGGATGTCCAGGGGGGGGGAGCAGGGCGGGCAGCAAGAGCGATGAGCCGGGGGTGGAGGCGAGGGGTGATGATGGCGATGGTCGGCCATGCGTGAGTGACCTCTCGACGAAGTTGCATCTGGTTCGGGCACACCAGGGCCTCCAGATTGCTGAGCGCGACGAGATAGTAGAGGCTTGCGCTCGGATTTGGCCTCCCCTCGGCTCCCGGGCGTCGCGCATCAGATGTCGCTCTTGCCCAGGGGCACTCTTGGGTGTAGTTCTGACGGGGAGAATACTGAGGGAGGGAGGGAGGAAGTACAGTGGAGACTCATTCCAAGAAACACCCTGCTCGCCTCCTGGGTGCCCTGGGTTTCTTGGGTTTCAGGTTGGGTTTCTTTTGGAAGGTTTTTTGTGGTCGGGCCCCTGCTGTACCAGGAGTGCCGGTTGAGCGCATCAAGCTGCGGCGCCAACGGCTGGCATTGCGGTGTCAGAATGCCGTTGCTGAGTCAGCCCAGCACGAACTGGAGCTTGCCCAGGGTGATGGGCTTGCCGCCAGCGTCTTTACGAAGGTCTGGTTGCCTCTGGCCGCCGAACGCCGCCAGCACTGAAAACCATTAGGCGCTGGAGGAAGGACTCTAGAATGATGGCCTTGCCGTCAGTCTCTTGACGACGACGTCGTCTCTGCCTATGGCCTCAGAACGCCGCCAGCCATTGAACCCAACCAGGGCCTCGATGTCCAGGGTGATGGTCTTCTCCGTCAGCATCTTCACGATTATCGCCGCCGGAATTCCAGCCACAGCTGGGCGATGCCCCAGTTGGTGGTCTTCCATTCAGCGTCTTGTCGAACCTCCCATCCTTGCCTACGGCCACCTGCGGCCGCCAGCCATTTGAAGACACCTAGGGTGCAGGACTTCAGCGTCAGCATCCTCGCGAAGCACGCGCCATAGCCTACATACGGCCGCCGAATGCCACCAGCCCATGTGAATAGCCCATCAGGGCCTGGATGTCCAGGGAGATGGGCTTCTCCGTCAGAGCCTTCGCGAAGGAATCGTCGCGTCGGTGCTGCCCATAACCTCGAGTAGTCGAGCAGCGGATCGATTACATAATTGATTTACTGCAGACGTAATTTCGTTTAGTGACTCGGAAAATTCGTTGGCGAGTGTCGCGTGGTTCATGATCCGGTCGATTGCAGCTTTCTTTCTTTGTTGTCCTACTCTGGCCGATCGGGCGGTTGGGATGGCTTGAATACGAATCTTGATTTTCGATGGGAGTCGATTGCCTCACGTGCGCGCCCGCGCGCAGCTGTCGAGCCCCAAGGGCTCCCACAGCCCAGACGGGATTCGGAGTTTCATCCCTCGATTTCCCCACCCGCCCTTTCCCTTGGGTGTAGACCTGGGGCTGGGCGTTGAGCCCGAGGCAATCGTATAAGGATGCCCAAAGTCAGTGCGGGCTCTCGTGGCTCGTAGGGCTGCCCTCCCGCTGCTGCCCGGCACGGCCCAGCTGCCTGAGCCGCAGGCGCCGCGGCCGCTTCTTTGCGCAATTTTCCCAAAAGTTGCTTCTTCGCAGAATCAGCGAAAATTGCGCAGAAGGTTCCGTAGATCTACGGAGCAGTCTACGTGTTTTTTTCGTAGATCCGACGAACCAATCTATTTTGATGTAAATCTACTCTGTAGTCGATTCCCTGCTCGTGGCAGGCGCGCGACAACCCTGCACGCGAAGGTGCACCGCCCGCTGGCCGGAGCGCGCGGCGGCGCGTCGTCGGCAGGCTTTTTTTTTGCCCCACAGCTTGGCTGGACCGGCCTCGAGGAGCGCGGACACCATTTTGGCCCAGCGGGGAGGTGCCCCACTTGAGCCAACATGGCTACGGATGACGGAGGGAGGGAGGGAGGGAGGGAGGGAGGGAGGAGGAGGAGGAGGAGGAGCAGGCGGAGGAGGAGGAGAGGACGAGGACAGGTGCGGGAGGAGGAGGAGGAAGGAGGAGGAGGAGGAGGGGAGGAGGAGGAGGAGGAGGAGGAGGAGGAGGAGGAGGAGGAGGAGGAGGAGGAGGAGGAGGAGAGGAGGAGGAGGAGGAGGAGAGGAGGAGGAGGAGGAGAAGGAGAGGAGGAGGAGGAGGAGGAGAGAGGAGGGGAGAGGAGGAGGAGGGAAGGGAGGAGGAGGAGGAGGAGGAGGAGGGAGAGGAGGAGGAGGAGGAGGAGGATGAGAGGAGGAGGTGAGGAGGGAGGAGGAGGAGGAGGAGGAGGAGGAGGAGGAGGAGGAGGAGAGGAGAGGAGGAGGAGGAGGAGGAGGAGGAGGAGGAGGAGGAGGAGGGTAGGAGGAGGAGGAGGAGGAGGAGGAGGAGGAGGAGGAGGATGAGGAGGAGGAGAGGAGGAGGAGAGGAGGAGGAGGAGGAGGAGGAGGAGGAAGAGGCTGAGGCGGAGGAGGAAGGGGAAGGAGGCGGAGGAGGCGGAGGAGTGAGGAGGAGGAGGAAGGAGTAGGAGTAGGAGGAGGAGGAGGAGGAGGAGGAGGAGGAGGAGGAGGAGGGGGCGCCAGGCCCGATGCAGGCCTGGGCGTTTTCAGCGTTTTCCGACTTGGGCGTCGGAGAGCGCCCCCAGCAGTCCTCAAGCGGGAGTCGCAGGAAAACTTAAAAAACCTAAAACACCTAAAAAACCATTTTTTCGGGCGAACTTCAGGAAGTGGCCTCGGGTCAGGCAGATTTGTCTGGACAATATTTTTTATTTGTTTAAGCAACGGTTTATATATATATATATATATATATAAACTTTCTTTTTTATTTTTTTAGGTTTTCTCAATGGTCTCTGGTGTTCCAGCCTCCAGCTGCGAATGGCACTGAGTAGGACGAGGAGGAGGAGAGGAGGAGGAGTTTCCGACTTGGGCGTCGGAGAGCGCCTCCAGCAGTCCTCAAGCGGGAGCCGTAGGAAAACTTTTAAAAAAACTACAAAAAACAAGATTCCGGGCGAACTTCAGGAAGTGGCCTCGGGTCAGGCAGACTTGTCTGAAACTAGTTTTTTTTTTTGTGTTGTTTTTATATGTTTTTTTAGGTTGTTTAGGTTTTCTCAATGGTCTCTGGTGTTCCAGCCTCCAGCTGCGAATGGCACTGAGTAGGACGAGGAGGAGGAGAGGAGGAGGAGTTCGCCGCACACGATCTCCCCCGCATTCATCCGCGGGGCCCGCGGCGCGCCGCCTGGTCGCTACATCGCCACCTACGGCTCAGCGCCTGGAGTGGTCGGGCACGCCGTGGCGGTCCTGATCTTCCGAGAGGGATTCATAGTATTCGACGGTGACGCCCGCGCCTGCTACGCGGGCCACGTGTCGTGGCATTGCATGCCAGGCGGCGTGCGTGCCGAGGCATGCGACTGGTGGCAGGTTCTGGGCGCCTAACTCGGCGACGCCAGCGCCGCGCACTCGCCCTCCTCCCCCCCCGCGCGCGCAGTGGTGCGGGGAAAGGCCCTTCCGACGCTCGCCCCCCCCCCCCCAAGCGAGGCGCACGCGTGCAGGCGCCAGCATGGGGCGCGCGCGAGCCAGAATTTGTGCACGTCGGAGAGGGGCAGCGCCCGTGAACGGGGCGGGGCGTTGCAAGAACGAGGTCCCGCATGAGAGAAAGATCAGCGCTTTCTGGCCGTGATCATACTTGAGGCGTCGCGCATCTGCAGATGCCGCGCACGTGGTTGCCGCACTGCTGCTCTGTCCGTAGCACCTTTGGCTCAATTCGGCGATCAGCTCGCGGTCCCGCTTCCGCTCTCCCGCGCGCCAGACCTGCCCATCATGCCGCATGGTGGCAAAGCTTCCAAGGCGGACAAGCACAAGCGGGCTCATCGCGTGGCAAAGGCGATTCTGAAGAAGAAGCCCGCTCGTTCAACTCCCTCGTCGAAGAGACGGCCTGCCTGTGCAACTCTCCCGTCTAGGAAGCTTTCTGGCACGCGCAGGGTGTCGCTCACAAAGGGAAGTCGTATCAGCAAGAGCTCGATGATGAGGAAGGGAAAAGCGAAGCCGAATAAGGAGGCGCCTGGCCAGTCGTACATCCCCCCGATGCAAAATCAAGCTGATCGACCTCGCGTTGCCGGGCTCACGATTTCCCAGATAATCGCGCTGATCGACTTGGCGCGCATCCAGCCCGAGCTCCTCGCGCGCATCATGGTCGAGATCGGTGTGCTGCCAGACCTGGGAGTCGAGTGCTCGGCGTGCCAGAGCGGCACGATGGAGTTGAAGACTTGGGGCAGCCAGACGGACAAGCATACCCAGGTGGCGGGCTTCAGCATTCCCCATATGGACTACCCTGTGTGGCGCTGTTCCAATTTGGGATTGCCAGAAGCGCGAGTCCAACCTCGACCCGAAGGGCCCCTTGAAGGAGTTGTTCAACCAGGGCTCTGTGAACACCACCCGCACTCCCGTCGCCATCGCCCACGCAGCGACTCAGCACGCCTCGGGCTACGAGTCGTCGGACGAGCTGGCGGTGCAGGTGGGGATATCGAAGAACGCATCTCAGCGCATTGCCAGCGTGGTGCGGGCCATATGCGCTCGCGCAGCTCAGGCCGAGCAAGATGAGTTCAAATGGCCCCGCGGGTGCCTCGTTGAAGCCGACGAGGCGTCAATGCGTGCACGCCGCGTGCCTTGCCCGTCGGACTGCTCGGATCAGACGTGCGGTGAGCATCCTCATGGGCGGTATCGGATATTGCATCATCGGTTTATGTGCGTGATGCCTCGGGGGCAGCGACCGTTGGCGATGTTTTTCGAGCTGCCTCAGCGCACCTGCGCTGCTGAAGGGAGCGGCGTATCGCTCAGCGGGCCCGAGTGTGACGAGATCCTCTCTGGGGTTCTCGTGCCTGGAAGTTTTACGTTTTGTAACCGACGGAGCAGGCGCATGCCAATCCGTTGCCCCGAAGAGCCGTGCTGCGTACAGCGACAAGAGTAAGGGCCCTCCCCGCTTCGGCGCGGAGCGCTTCAATGCTCATTACAAGCATCTGAAACTGTCGCGCGGCATAGTTTCCCACGATGCCGAGCAGTGGGCCGTCGTCGACCGCGTGCGCGTCGTGCGCCCGAACGGGCGCACCGAGACGCTCTTTTTAAACAAAGGCACGCAGTGCTGCGATGGCTTGTGGCCTGAGATGCACAGCAGCATCCCAGACGGCGTTCATGCGTCCGATTGGGAGCGTTGCCGCACGTACTTGTGGGCTTGGGTGTGGCGGATGCGGCGGGCAGACAAAGACCTGCTTCAAGAATTTGGGAAAACTGCGCGTGCTGCCAGAGACGGCCCGCCGTAAGCAATCGCATCAAGAGTGCAGCCCGCCGGCGTGCAGTTGCGCGGGCTGCGGCCGTCCGCGTGCAGTGTGCGCGGCTTTTTGATGGCTCGATTCAGAGAAAAAAAAACATCAAAACCGCCCAGGCCTGCATCGGGCCTGCTTCGGGAGGAGGAGGAGGAGGAGGAGGAGGAGGAGGAGGACGAGGAGGAGGAGGAGGAGGAGGAGGAGGAGGAGGACGGGGGGGGAGGAGGAGGAGGAAGAGGGAGGGAGGGAGGAGGGAGGTGGAGGAGGAGGAGGAGGGAGGAGGAGGAGGGGAGGAGGAGGAGGAGGAGGAGGAGGAGGAGGAGGAGGAGGAGGAGGAGGAGGAGGAGGAGGAGGAGGAGGGGAGGAGGAGGAGGAGGAGGAGGAGGAGGCGGAGGAGGAGGAGGAGGAGGAGGAGGAGGAGGAGGAGGAGGAGGACGGAGGAGGAGGCGGAGGAGGCGGAGGAGGAGGAGGAGGAGGAGGAGGAGGAGGAGGAGGAAGAGGAGGAAGGGGAGGAGGAGGAGGAGGAGGAGGAGGGGGGGGAGGGAGGTAGGAGGAGGAGGAGGAAGGAGGAGGAGGAGGAGGGAGGAGGAGGAGGAGGAGGAGGAGGAGGAGGAGGAGGGGAGGAGGAGGAGAGGAGGAGGAGGAGGAGGAGGAGGAGGGGAGGAGGAGGAGGAGGAGGAGGAGGTCGAGGAGGAGGAGGAGGAGGAGGAGGAGGATCACTGACTAAACTGCCAGGTATGCGACCAGGCTGCTTTTGAACAGTTCCTGTGCCGAGGAGGGATCACCAAGGGGGTCACCCTCGCCTGGGGCAGCCCAAACTCGCAGCCTGTTGCTGTTGATTGCTAACGAAGGCGCGCCCCGTCTATCAACCCACATTAGGACGGGAGAGTGAGGATGTGGAGGAGGAGGAAGAGGATGAGGAGAAAGTGAAGGATGAGGATGATGATGATGATGATGACGATGGTGATGATGATGATGATGATGATGGTGATGATGATGATGATGGTGATGATGATGATGATGGTGTTGATGATGATGATGATGATGATGATGATGATGATGATGTTGATGATGATGATGATGATGATGATGATGATGATGATGATGATGATGATGAGGCTCTGTCACTCTCAACGGTGCCAATGTACAGTCGCTCCGAGGGATAGCAAAGGGATATGTCAAACTCATGTTTTCCGAGTGTGGCTACAGGGTGCGAAAGCTTGAGTTCATGGCCATGCCAGCTCTTCGTCCCAGCGACGACGACGAATGCAATATGGTTTAGGTTTCTTTCGCCTTGTCTGTGCTAGTGAAGGCGGGGGACGTCCAAGCACGCACTCCCGGTGAGCATGCTTTCCTAAGCGCGAGCACCACTGGCATACCACGCGCCGCTACAGGCAATGCGCCCTGCCACCATGTGGTGACCAAGTCATAGATGCACGATCTGGCCGCACACCATCCTTTGCCTTGGACAGTGTGTTCGTCGTATTCCTGGGAATCAGAGGTTCGGATCTGCGCAGAGGTGCTTCTGAGCTTCATCTGGTCCTTGCCAATAGTACTGTGATGATATTAGAGAGGCCTGACGGCCGGTGCCGCCGACCCTGATCGAAAGGGCTAGGAGTGGGAGGAGGAGGAGGAGGAGGAGGAGGAGGAGGAGGAGGAGGGGAGGAGGAGGAGGAGGAGGAGGAGGAGGAGGAGGAGGAGGAGGAGCGGAGCGGAGGCGGAGCGGATGGGGAGAGGAGGAGGAGAGGGAGGCGGAGGAGGAGGGAGGAGGAGGAGGAGGAGGTAGGAGGGAGGTGGAGGAGGAGAGGAGGAGGAGGAGGAGGAGGGGAGGAGAGAGGAGGAGGAGGAGGCGTGTAGCGACGGACGGAGGAGGAGGAGGAGGAGGAGGAGGGAGGAGGAGGAGGAGGAGGAGGGAGGAGGTGGAGGAGAGGAGGAGGAGGAGGAGGAGGAGGAGGAGGAGGAAGAGGAGGAGGAGGAGGAGGAGGAGGAAGGGGTGGAGGAGCAGGAGGAGGAGGAGGAGGAGGAGGAGGGGAGGAGGAGGCGGAGGAGGAGGAGGGAGCGAGGGAGGGAGGGAGGAGGGAGGAGGGAGGAGGGAGGAGGAGGGAGGGAGGAGGGAGGAGGGAGGAGGGAAGGAGGGAGGACGGGAGGAGGAGTGGGTGAGGAGGGAGGAGGAGAGGAGGGGGAGGAGGAGGAGGAGGGAGGAGGGCAGGAGGGAGGAGGAGGAGGGAGGGAGGGAGCGTGAGGAGGTGCGGGAGCGCGCGGCGGCCCTTTTGGGTGGGCCTTGAGCCGCGCACGGGGCGCGGCAACCCCTCCCGCACGCCGCCTTGCCGCGCCGCGGGCCTGTGGCGACCGCGCAGGAGGGCTCGGTTCTGAAAGTCTTCTCTGGGCCGGGTGGCACAACAGATAGAGGGGGAGGACGACGAGAGAGGGGATCTGATGTGCACCCGCAGAGAAAAAATGCACCGGGCTAAGAAGATTACATTTGCAAATGATGTCAGTACAGTGCGGTAGATTACAAAACGGGCCAGCTACAGACTACAGAACTAACTTGCGCCAAATATTGTCTACTCACTCCGTGGATTTTCACATCCTTGCCTAGATGCGTTCACTCAGAAGTTCCCGGCTCAGTAGACCAGGTCGCCGGAGGAGCGCCGGCAGCCTTGGAGGTTGCACCAGGAAACCTCTTGGGGGCCGCCTTACTCTTCGGCGTGGCGTGCTTGAGCGCGCCCTTCAGCACCCGCTTGTTCGCTGTCCGGTTGCTCCGCATCCGGGCCTTCTGTGCCTCGTTGGGAGGCTTGCGGGTGAGGTTGCGGGGGCCCCGCAAGTAAGGCAGCTCCCAGGTCTCGGGGGTGGAGAGGTTCATCTCCAAGAGGTCGTTGTCCAGGTCTGGGATGTCTTTCACCAGGTAGTCGCCGCGGAGGGTCCGCAGCGGAACGTTCTTCTCCGACACCAATGCGATTGCACCCGGGACCCTGCGACCGATCTCCGCCCACAAATGGCAGAAACGGGCCTCGCGCTGGATGCCGAACTGCGTCTCCTCTGCCCCGGTCAGCGGGTTGTTCACCAGCGCCGTGAACATGTCGTCGCGCGGGTGCTTGTCGATCACGACCTGCACGACCCGCGCCTGCTGCTCGGGGCCAGTGTCCTGCGGCGCGTCCGGGACGAGCTCCGGGCGAGGGTCTGCCCTGGCACGATTCCGCTCATGCCCCTTGTGGCTTGCGACCCACTTCGGCACCTTCGCGGCCACGTCGGCGCGCCACCGGGCGGATCCAGTCGGCCGTGGCGCAGCAGCGCGACTGTCACCTTCCCTCCTGGCGGCCGCGCCGGCCGCGTCAGCCCGGATGCGCTCCTGAAGGCGGTCAGCCTTCCAGAGCTGCTGGCCCTGCAGATCCAACAGCTCTTCGCGCCGCTCGGCCTGGAGTGGCTGGTTCGTGTCGCACTTCCCAGCGAGCTGCCCCAAGTACTGTGCGTTGTCCAACACTACGGCCCTGGCGGTGCGCTCCACCATCCTCTGCCCCGGGAACATCTCCACGTGCTCTCCAGATGCTGCTGGCGATGATGATGAAGAGGCACCCGGTGTAGCCAACCTTAGCATCCCAACCTTAACCGAACCATTGGGAAACTGGGTAACAGGAGTACCGAACAACCTACCGACGAGGTACATCAACTTGTTGTGTCCTAGTGCTTTCGTGAATGCATCGCCGATGTTTTCGGTCCCTGGCGTGTGTTCTGGCAGTACCCCGCACTGGTTAAGGAAGAGCAAGCTCACCTCCGCGTGCTTTTTGAGGTGCCCGAGTTTTGGGCTATACCCCTTCTGGATTGCGAGCTGCACGGCTTGGTTGTCGAGGTGGCCCCGGACGACAACCGGAGCAGCACGGGTGTACTCGATCATGGCGGCTACCCTTATACTTTGTTTCGCCGTTTTGCTCCAAGCGAGAGCCTCCGACTCTCCAGAGCTAGTGGTCGTAACATCCTGTCTGGCAGCTCCCCACGACAGCGGGTACTGGGAACCCTTCGGGCCGGTCAGCTCCAGGTAGAAGCCCGTGGTGCTCTTGGGCGCAGAAAAATCTGCGTCGCTCCAGGCATGGAGCTCCAAGTCGTCCCAAGAATCCCCAAAATTTAGCATCACGAGGCCAAGCTCCGAGCTGAAGAGGACGTAACCGACGAAGTGGCCAAGCTCTGCCTCTGCCCAAGGGCACCATTTGTCGACATACCGAGCGAGACGGCCAACTGCAAACGAGAAGTCCGGCCTCGTCCAACGAGCTGCGTAAAAGGCCTCACCGATAATCCTACGGCGACCGGTTCCAGCCTCTGCTGGCGC